AGAAAGCCAAGCATCCCAAAATTCTGTCCGCTAATAACACATGAAGCAGGATGACCCTGTCTTGCTGACCTTATTTGGGTTCTTATAGCAGGGTGAGTTAAACTTTTATTACACTAAGCCACGAAATTCTCAGGTAGTTACAACCTACCCTGATTTATACAACAATCAACACCATTCATGTTAGATTACACAATCCTTCACCACAACTTCTTTCTCTTCAAAGCTTTATCTTTTCCTTTGACCTCATATGCTGCTTCCATAGAAAAACCTCAGCTCAGGATGTCTAAAATGAGGTGGTTGTGTCCTCAGCTTTATGCCACATTCTAGCTGTAGAACAGAAGAACAACCTTCAAGGTCAAGAGGACTGTTAATATCACTGGACCCTTAATGGTCCCGAACACTGCAATTTCTCAGTCCAACCATCTGAGAACTTCCCCCAAGTTTCTTGAGTTCCCAGAAATATCTCATCCTATTGACTATACCCTCCTGGAAATATTCTTTCCTGGTAAGAGTTTTCCTACCTACATCCAAGTTGTCTTATCTCTCCCATTGCTCTTGGCCTCCTTTACAGTTCATCATTCTGTTCCAGTTTTTTCTCCATCATCCTTAACTACCACATCTCTTTCTACATTCACATCCTTTGGAGGCAATTGCATCTATCCCATGGCTTTAGCAACCACTGTATACACGGACAACTGTAAAACTCAATCTGCATGAGTGCTGAGTTTGAGATCCGAGTGATGTCTCCAGTAGGCACAAACAAATCAGCACCTTCCTTTCCCACCTTCCCTAACACCACTCCTCATTCACCTGCACTCTCCACTGTCAGTGGGTCTCCTTAGCCACAAGCCTGGGAGCACGACTTAACCCTCCAACAACTACTCACAACCCTTCTGATTCTATCACTAAATAGCTTCTGAATTTGTCCTTTGTCCTACACACCTCCAGGCACCAACATTTGTATTTTTCTCACTTAAATTACTTCTGGCAATTCCTATCAATTTCTATATCTGTAGCTTTATACTTCCAAACAACTTTATGTGGCTGACACCCAGATCTTGTTAACATAAAAGTCAGTTGTTATTCCTTCTTTATTGAAAATCCATTAATGGCTCTATAGATCTTTGAAAAAATAATTCTCTCTCTTTTGCATTGGCTTTTATCCAATGCACTACTGGACAGTTTATTCTAGTCTCCCACTGTGATGGAACAATACTATTATTCCTGATTTTGCATTCATATTTAATTTTCTCAATATGTTCCTTTCTGTGTGAAGAGCACCACTATCTGATCTGTTTCTAAAAGAGAAATCTAGGTGGAACTGCAGACAATCTCCAGCCCTCCTCCAAGCATCTCATTCATAAAGATTCTTTGAATCCTTCCCACTTAATATATCCTGAAATTATGAGCATTTTCTCAAACCCATACAAATACCCCTTCCCAGATCAACCATAATCTCTTATCCACCATAGTCTCCTCACTGGTCTTCTGTCTCATCTCTTCTTCAAAGCTATTATCCACTCCATAGACAGAATATCCTTTGAAACTGTGGATAGGATTCTACTCAAAAAACTTACAGTGATACCCCCAATGCTTTCAGCAACACAAAAAGTAATTTTAATGGAGTTTAGATCCTTATAAAGACAAAAAATAATAAATAAACAGGAATGTTTCAAATAGTAAAATATGATAGTGCAAGACAATGGAGAGGGTAACTGGATCTGAGGGTTAGGGCCAGCCTCTTGCAGTCTCCATGCTTCTGTGAGGCAGACAGCTCAAAGGCGCTAGTCTTGGTGCAGGAGGTGGACTTCAACAGCTGACCACGAGCTCCTTGGCTCTGAGCTCCCAAGGTCAGACCCCAGTATTCACTCATGATATGACTTTGAATGCCCATCACTGTTTTTTTTTTGGCACGTTTGGGTTCTGGATGCTTGTTTGCTGAGTACAAGGATGAATGAAGCTTTAATTTAAACTCTGAATAATCCAATTCTAGGTGCACTGTGCACTAATTTGTGTGTGTGTGCAGATGCATGTGTGCACGCCTATGTGCATTTCCTGACAACTTGTGAAACTATGAGTTTCTATGTAGACAAAAATGAAGAGGAGTTATACTCTAAAGAGGAATTTTTCTTTCCTTCAATCCTCCTCAAATATTTCAGAATAGATTCTATATGTTAGACTCCCATAACCAGGAGCCCTAACAGCACAAGTGGAAGGACTGTTTGCTAGGAAACTGCATGGTCTTTCCTTTTTACAACTATAAAAGCCAGCATCAGTTGGAAGGCTGGACCCCAAGGTTACTGGCTCTGAGCATCTTGACAGCCAAAACTGTTTTCACACAAACCAAAATCAACATGAGATGCTGTGATTCATAAAGAAAATAATCTCAAGTGATTATGGTTCATGTCTTCTAAGCAGAAAAACTAAAAAAGGCCTCATAAAACATATTGTATTGGGTTTAAATTATTAGATTTGATTCTGGAAAATAAGATATGTGAAATCATAATATCTTAATCTCCCTAAGGAACACAAACACAAAAGCTTCAATTATATCCTAGCAAACAGAATGCAGTAAATCATAAAGATTAGATCCCACCATGACCAAGTGGGATTCATCCTAGGAATTCAGGGATGGCTCAATATACACAAAACAATAAATGTATTACACCATATCAACAGAAATATGTAAAAGCATCATACCACAGTGACATATGTGCACCCATGTTTAGGGCAGCACAGTCTATAATAGCTAAATCTTGGAAACAACCCAAATGCCCATCAACTGATGAATGGATAAAAAGATGTGTTTTTTATATAATGGGTACTACTTGGCCATAAAGAAGGATAAACTTGAGGTATTTATCACTAAATGGATGGACATTGAGACCATACTCTCAAGTAAAATAAATCAAACACACATGTGTAAATATCATATTGTCTGTCTGGTGTGAGGCACTGAAAGTATAAATAAGAACCAAATTGTACAGTAGGTATTGTGAAATGGGAAGAAATTGTTCAAAAGGAAAGGGGAACTAGGAAAGGGAAGAGGGAAAGGAAGAAAGGGAAAAAGAAAAATGAGAAAAGAAGAATAAAATGGAAGCAAAGCTCTGTAAATAAGGAGGGGAAGAGGGATTGAAGGGAGAGGAGAAGAATGGGAGGGAAAAAAGACAAATCAACCTATATCATGCACAGGTACGAATTTCCTATGATGAATGTGATCATTGTACATATCAAAATTGTATCAATAAACTTAATTAAATTTAAAATAAAACCTGGAAACAGGGTTCAAGGGGGAAAAAAACCATAATGTCTTAGTCTCAAATTCAAAGCTTGTTTTCTAACAAATTTGGCAGGAAAACTTGAACTGATGTAAGAAGATTTATATTCCTTATTTAGTTCAGGTGGTGTGATTATTCATTTGTTTCACTATATAAATAGAATGTGTTCAATTACAGGGTGATTCTTCTGACCCTGCAGGAATGTTGAGTAATATATGACATAGTGAATGTAGTTTTTTCTAAAGTCCAAAAAATTCTGACCTTCAAGGCATGTCTGGTCCCAAGGGCTTTGCATAGGGACTCTATATTCTATATTTTTCTATATTCTGTTAGAACTTTCATCCAATTCTATTATCTTGGGTCATAAAACTATAATATGTGGGCCTTGAAGAATTTAGCAAAAGTAAAGTCAAAGAAACATGATTAATATGATTTTAGCATTGGGAAGATCTATCGTGGAAAGCTGCTCCAAGTTTCCTTTCAGATATCATTTAAGTATACATTCACACTGCTACATTATTGCTTTTCCCATATGTATCTACTTCTTGGACTAGAGACATTTCTGACCACGAGAAAACTTTTATAACATGAATTCTTTGCAGCACACTCAGCCATAATCCAGGTTTTGGGGGCATCAGAATAATTCACCATAACTTCCAAGTTTTCCAAGTATTTCATGGTTCTCATTTTATAACTTAATAATTTTGTTACACTTCTCATTTTTTTTCTCCTAAAAGTTTCCCCAAGAAGTGCTAGGAACAAGGTTTCTACTCTTTGTAGGGAATTTATCTGGCACTGGCTGTAAAATTCATTTGTATATGATGTTTGATTGTCACAATTACTCTCCATGGATATTTCCTTTTCATCCCATCATGGAACTGAGCAACGTCATTCTCCATTTACCCAAGTGCTCATGATTCCCAAGAGGAAGAATGAAATTTGAACCCAGGAGTGTCTACGTCTAAAATTTGTGTCTTCCAAAACATCACAGAGCCAACAACTGGCCTGTGTTCTAATCTCCTTCTCAAATCATGCACTGTTGGAAGACCTTGCTTGATCCACAGTAGAAATGAGAACATGACTTTTTTCTGAACTCCTATGTTAAACATTTGATAGCATCTTTATAACTCTATGAGGTAAAGATATACTATCTAGTTTTAAAAGACAACTCTACCGTCATAAAATATCAATCCATATAATTTTGGTCTTTGTTTTATTATTTTAAAACAGTAAATACAAATTGAAATTCGGAAGACATCAGCAAATACAGCTAAATAAGATATTCAATATTTACCCACCTTTGAGAAGCATCACCTACATTTATTGAAAATATTATCAGTGAAAGAAAGAGAAGGGCTTACACCTCAGAACAACAAAGCATAAAAGGACAGGAGATGAAGGTCATTAATGATTTTAATTATTTTAAGGCCCATTGAAATTAGAGAAATGTCGAAGCACCCACAGTGTTAAGGGTTTATCATTACAGCATTTTAGAGTTTACTAGTTCATACCTTTCAATCACAGCAAGTTATTAGCAGTGAAGGGATGAACCCTCTGAAGAGGATTTTTACTTCAGTGATAAGGTGTTACGAACAAGACAACCTACATTTTAAAAAAAAATTAGTAGCAAGCGCTAGTTGAGTTAATCAGTTAAAGACAAACCGTGGCCTTGGGAAGCTAAATGAAAAAGCAACAGTAAAGCTTACAGAACTTAGCTCGTACAATTTGCCTTGAAGGCGGAAGATTGGTTCCCTGAAATAGCAAAGAATTATATGCTTTAGTTCAGAAAAAAAAGTTTTTAAAATAAAGTCTGTTATTACCTCTTCTCCTTTCAAAACAATGGAAAAAAAAATCTAGAGCAGAGGGTTCAATTTGTTCAATAATTGTACCTCTGAATTTAAAAAAAAAAAAGCTTGAAAAAATCATCATTGTTTTGACTTGAAAAGAAATAACAATGCAAATACTTATTATCACATGAAACATAAAAGAAACAGCAAATTGCCAGAGTTAATACAATCTCTGCAGAGCGCTATTAGTCAGAGACAGCTGGTCAGCCCCAAAACACAAAAACTCAGAAGATCAGAGCTTCGTAAGAATGAACGTCTTCGTTTACCAACAGGAATTTAGTGTGGCAGAGGTGAAATCCACCAACTGCCTCTTTCATGAGCTGTCCCTTCACTGTTACCAAGCTGTGCAAACGTGTGAACTAGTCAGCAGCACCAGAAAGCTCATGCAACTACTCACCATATTTTAACCTTGAACTGACTTACAGTCAATGTTAAGTTTAGGGGTCATGTAAGCAAGCAAAGGAGGACACAAGGAGTCATATTTGAAATGCAGAGCAAGTAGCAGAGAAGTTATTGAAAATAAATCAATATGTTTAACTGCATAAAATAGCCAAGAAGCAATGCAAGTCACTCTAAAAAAACTTTAAAAGCAAAAATAAAAAGTGCAAAACTGCATGTTAAGCAAAATTTGCACGTGATTAATTTGCACTTAAAAAAATAGTCAATCAAGCGATTTAGTCGATATTCTTTAAGGCATGCATGCACCACTCTCTTTTACAATTCCTACCTGATTTCCAATTGTGGTTTTCTTGTGAACCTGACTGCTCCTCTGCTGAGCACTGAGAAAACCAAAGGAAAGCACCACTGAAGAAACTCTTAAGAACATTTTCCAAACAAGTAACAGATACTAAAATATAGACAAGCTTTGTAAAATTGGGGCAACAACGGCGGCACAGCTACTGCAAAAAGAAAATAAGGTCGGTTGAATTGTGGCAGCAAAACCAACTGAGTGGGACTTCTAGTAGCACTTAACAATCACAGACCAAAATGTTAATTCCCCACCTGCAAAAGAGGCATTGCTGCATTAATAGTAATATGAGTTGTTGTGATATCCCACGGGCATACAGAATAGTCGCAATGAAAATTAAGTTAAGGTTTATTGAGTAGGTGCCCTATTTTAAGTGTTTCACAGATATTCGTAATTTTACTTCTTACCACAGCTCTGTGGGGTAATCCTGGGATAAAGGCCAAGAAGACTGTAACAATTTAACCTCAGAGCCTACACGTTTAAACTCTATGTTATTCTGTCCTTCAAAAGGATGAAGGCTTTCTTCTGGTGGATCCCTGGAATCCTCTCATGATGGAAAAAAATAAAACTCATTTTTGTTATTGTGGGAAAACAAGCTTAAGGGTTTACAGTCACTGTTTTGGGAAACAATGGAATAGTCTAAAATAGAGAGGAGGTAAGTTAAAGACATCAGCTATTTAAAGTAATGTAAAGGGGTCTGGGGATTTAGCTCAGCGGCACAGCGCCTGCCTGGCAAGCGCAAGGTCATGAGTTTGATTCCTGGTACCGGAAAAAAACCAAAAACAAAACAAAACAAAAAAAAAGTGATGTAAAGTTATGATTCAGTAGTAAGACAGAAAGCAATACCACACTTAGGATGGTTCTTCACAATAGCTGTCTTTTACAAACTCTCCTGATATATTTAAGTTGCTCACCTTCACTCAAATTGATGAAGAGGCACACACTACATTCAAGCAAGGCTGGGTGGGGCAGGTTGTAAAGAGTCATGCTATATTTGATTACAAGAGATATTTTATGAGCATCTTTTTCTCTCACAATTTCTAGTTTACTCATTTCAGCTTCTTCCTTATCTTAGTTGCTAGTTTCCTACTTTTCAGGTAACTGTATAATTCCCTTCATCAAAATGAAATTCATATATCTTCCACAATTCCTCAGTAATCTAAATCTACAGTTTTCAGACATAGATGAAGGGGTGAAAGAGGTGACGCTTCTGTCTGTGGTCAGGACCTGAGGAACCCACACTGCCTTCTGGCCCCCCGGGACGCCTCTCAGAAACTACTGTCCCAGGACTGCCAATCTCTCCCATACCGCCTTTCCCCACTGCCACCTTCCGGAGTTCTGCAGCTCTCCTCCCAGGTACACTGACTTTACAAATGTGACCCTGCCTCCCACGTGGGTTATGGCCATCTCTTCCTAGCACTATATTTATGCTTCAGGATTTTCCTTGAAGAAAAATATTTTGAGTAAAACTCTGTGGTAACTTTAAAACTATAACAGACCCATAGGTGTTTATTTTGGATAAATTACTGAGACTCTAAAGTTATGTGTAGGTCTCCTTAAAATCACATAAGAGAAAAGAAGCTGAAAATATAGCAAAGGATAGAGAAAGTGTGTTGATGATTCTGTGTGCTGCCTTAGACAGAGTTTGACCTAAATGGACAGCAGGTTCTCAGCTGCACAGTGTGTAGGAAACTGGGCCATTTCTTAGGTTCTTGTGTGTGTTGGGGAGGGGCTCCCTGGGATCAAACCTAGGACCTTGAATGAGCTAGGCAAGTGCTGTATCACTGAGCTACACCTCCAGCCTTCTTATGTTTCTTTTACATCCAAGATTCCTTGTGATGCAGAGTTCCTCCCAGAAGCTTTTAGCAACACCAGATAAAGAGAATTTCCACTAATATGTTCACCAACAAAATAATGCATTTCAGGATCTACCACCTATGAGAGGACGCATAAAGAGAAACAGTTTCATGGCTAGTTGAGGATAAATCAATCTGAAATATTTCAGTTAAAGTAAACACTTTGTACCCAAAGAATAACCGTCTGGCAACTGGCCATATATAATTCAAACATACTATTTTTTTTTTTTTGGTTTTTCTCCGGTACCAGGAACCGAACTCACGACCTTGCGCTTGCCAGGCAGGCGCTTTTGCCGCTGAGCTAAATCCCCAGCCCCAAACATACTATTGTTAATGATATATTTAGGCACTTAAAGTTACTTCACACATAACAATAAAAAGTTTACCTAATTAGAAAAGAACCTTTATTGTAATTTTTCTGTTATGATAATTGAGCTAAAAATATTTCAAAGTAGTCATTTAAGAATGTGTTATGCAAAAATGTCTAAAGAGTTGCAAGTTAATTTGAATGCTTGGACATATTCTTGGATACAGGTATTTAATTGGCTACCTCAGCAATATTATAAGATATACGTTTATATAATGTTTTCATTTCTCATAAGTCAAAAATTTTAGTGTGGCAATTTGGAAGAAAATATAAGTACAAATAAGGTGTCAGAAACCTACAGTTTATCTAGTATAGGTGAAGAGATACATACACAAAACAGAAGTAACAAGTAAAGGATAAGATCTATTTAAAGTGAATATATAAGAACTTAATGGAATGACAAAATTGCTTCTGTCTCAAATACAAGACATAATCACCCTATAACTTCTTACTGTGTGCATCTGTTAATTGTAAAACTTTGTACTATATACAAATAACCACAAAGGGCTCTTCTATAAGACTAAAACACAAAACCCAATTAGATTTATCAGGTTTATGCTTGACACACAATGAATTTAGGCATCTATAATAAGAACTTTAAATTTTAATAAAAGTAAGAGTATGTTAGAAGACACTGAAAGACAGAAGAGCCACAACGCTACCTCTGCTCAAAAATTTGTGTGCATGTTCCCTTCCAGCTTTGTTCATGAGAAAATACAAGACACAAGGAGCAGAAGAGTGCGCTAAAGAGGCGGTGACTGCTTATGAAATAAGTCCTATACTTAGTAATTGCCCTGAATGTTCAGAAAGAAGAAATGTCACTTCAGTCTCATGTGATCTGAGACTTCACAGAAAACTTGACAGATAAATGTTAATACAGGAAGACAGCCAACTGTATTCCAAGCACAGAAATGACACCGGCAAAGTCAGGAAATAAAAAGATAAGGCAGGTAGGAAAATTGTGAACAGCAAAACTATTGTGGCAGAATTATACAATCAGAGACTCGAGTTTATGAATGACCTTAAAATCATCTGCTATAATGACTGTATGCTGCGTCTAATTATAAAGATCTTGGCTATTACTCTGTAGGTAACAGATAGAGTCAATGTTTCTGAGCCAGTAAATGCCACGATCAAAGTAATTTTTTTATAAAAATTACCTCCCCAAATTGGGAAGTGTTGACTGCAAAGCAGGGAATATGGAAAACAATCACAGGCTGAGGCGGGTCCTAGTCAGCCTTCAAAGTCCAATCAAGTGTCATTTGTGGATTACGCCTTCTTAGAAACCTCCAGTGTCTCCTCTGTCCATGAACTCCCAAAGCTTTTGCTGTGCCTGCATCACATAAACAAGCTCCTATGAGAGTCAGGGCTGTATTTCCCCTGCAACATCTACAGCGGATGGTGTACTGCATCAAGCTTGGTCTTTCTGCTTCTCTCCTTACGGACATCTGCTTCTCACCCCAAGCACAAGGTTCATGGACGGTTTTTAAGAAATAGTTATGGAATTCTATTTTGATGTGAGAGTCATTTATAACCAAACTATCAATGTTTATTAAGAAGCATATCATCAGCTTGTCCTGAGGCCAGAGTATGTACGATACATTTAAAAATCCCAAAGTGTACAAACTAGCTGTAGCATAACATCAGGGAAGGGAGCAGAGAAGAATAATGACGATAGAACAGGCAAGAGAAGCAAGGAGACAAATTATACACAGCCTTGGAAATCAGGTTAATAAGGTTAGAAGTTATTCTGAAATTATAGGGACTCTGAGAAGGAGTGAGAAAGACCATGACAACAGGCAGAGATTGTTGCAACAATCCAAGTAAGAAAGGACTCACTTCAGCTTGTCAGTGATGACGACAAGAAATAGAAAAACTCAAAAACTATTCCAGAAAGAGTCAAATGAATTTGGCAAAGATGGAGAGAGACACAGAGAGGAGAACAAGAAGTGCAGGATGACATCCAGGTGTGTGGTGTAAGCATCAGCAGAGAGTGGGAAGAGGTGCACATTTAGAGAGCAGGCAACAAGTGTATTTTGGGACTATTGGGTTAAGGATTTAGGGTTCACAAGCGGAGATATTCAGTAGGTGGCTGAATATGGTGCACAGTCCAGAAAAAGGTTTTGGAATGGAGCTCAAGATTCAGAGTCATCAGATAAAGCCAGTAACTGAAGTGCTGAAGCAAGTGAGATCTCTCAGGCACAACACAGGAAGTGAGGAAAGAAAGGATCTAGAGAAGGCTACTCATAAAAAAAAAAAAAAAAAAAAAAAAAAAAACAGTTACTAAGCCATGGATGGAGGGAAAAAAACTCCCGCAAAGACCAAGAGGTGTGCTGTCCAATCCAGTACGTGGGAGACAGACGTAGCATAAATTAAAACTTCAATTATTTTAAATTAAAATTTAAAACTTCAATTTAAATTAAAATTTCATTTCCTCATTTCTCTGGCCACATTTCAACCACTCAACAGTCACATACAATTAGTGGCTACTAGATTGATCCACACAGGTTGAAAAATATTTTCTTAACTTCAAAAAGTTCTACTGAGTAACACTGTTGTGGAGGGATGTAGTTTTTTAGAACGCTGTCTTATATTACTCCAAGATTACACACACTTCCTAGAGTCCCAAGACTCCCATGTATAGGTCTAATTCATCCAATCAGATGGAAGCAAAGGGAAAAGAAATGATGTCAGTTCTATCAATAGAAACTTCAAGCTAAATATTATCTAAGAAAATCATACAGAACTGGGGGGATGGCTATGAAAGAAAGATCACTCATCTTGCAAGATTCACTTCAAGAGTGAAAACAAAGTTCAAAATAATAGATTTGAGGATGGAAGTCTACTTATTTTTACAATGGTCTTTGAACATTGAAATTTTTAATTCATTTGAAGAGGTGACACTATTGATGTCCTTTCAATTGTTCAAGCTTATATTTCTACCCAGTAATAATCCCAGTGAGCAGCCAAGTATTTAATAGCTAAACTTGCATATGAATTGAAAGAAGAATCTTGTTATGCGCTAATACCCAAGTTTGGATTCTATGAGACAGAGAAGACCCTTGTGGGAGAACAGGAACTAGAAATACTATTATAATAGATCATGATGTTGTGCTAGGAAAACATAAAAAGAAGAATGTAAAGGGAAAGACCATGCTTGCTCTGGAACTGGTGGCAAGGTTCAAATACACGTTTTGTGAAATGGCAACAGAGGAATTCCAGAAGATCAGGAAATAGATATAATGACTGCTACAACCCGTGCGATTTTCATGGTGCTCATGTAACAAGAATTGAACTATGCACACTGTATTATTTCCACTGTGAGAAAACAGGTGCTGAGACCTACTCAGCAGACTGAAAAGTAAACAGACCTTAGTCTGCTGCTTATGGTATACAGACATTACTTTAACGGCCCCTAGTGAGAGCCCCTCTTTCTCTCAAACCACTGAACTGCATAAATCTTATAACTCAGGAGGCAAATGGTGTCCTGGAACAAATGAAGACAAGCACAAGAATTTGCAATTTTACTCCCCAAGGCGTTCAGCTCGCAGGCTTGCCCTACTCTTCAAATAGCTGGATTACTGAGAATGAGGGGATGTGAAGGAAGGGATAATTGGACTAGTTCTTATTTTTTTAAAAAGCCCAAAACTAGATATGTTAGAAAATATAGAACAGGGATTTTTTTTGCAAAAGGAAAAAAATGACAAATTAAAATCCTTAAGTCACAGGAAAAGTTGTCATTTACTTCTAAATACTACATTTTGAGGTTCAGAAACTTTACTATAGTTGCATGCCCAAGCTTTGGGAAGTCCGGAAATTCCAAAGAAGCCTACAGCAGGCTACACTTGAACATATGACACATGGTACATATTTTACAGTCCATGTCTAACAAACAACTGAGAGACAGCAAGTGAAGTCCCACATACCCAACATGGCAGAATAAATTGTAAGTGGAAAAGAATTTTGAGATGTCTTGAACAATACCCTGACACTGAACATTCTACTACTTAAATTTTAGAATTTGTTTTCCCTTAAAAAAAATTTTAGAACAAAAGAAATCATCCTAGTTTAAAAAAAAAATGATACATGTAATATACTATGTACATCACCATCCTATAAATCTGACATGTGGTCCCCTATCTTCTGGCAACTCTTGAAAAAAACTTTCAGGAAACAACTGCTCACTTTCCTCAACCCCAGACTTTAATTTTCTATCTTTGGAACTAAAAATACTTACATAATTGTCTTCAAATATGGCTTGACTTTTCTTCCTTGATGGAAACAGCATTCCTGCCAACTTTAAAATTTATAGCTACAACCATATTTTTTTAATTTTTAAAAGCACAGCAAATACCACAACCCATCAAAGTGATCTTGAAATGAGTATTTCTTCATTTTTATAATTATCACATGTCACACTTCAATGTACTTCCACTCAGCGCATGAACGAATAGAACGTTTACTCTGAGTCTTAGAGCCAAATGTCATTTTTGATAATTAACACTAGAAGTTGAGAAGGGAGCTTAAAGGGAAGTTGGAATTGATCAGCAAATTGGATCAATATAATCATGTACTGAAATGCCATACTGAACCCTACTAATATGTATAATTAGCATATGCAATCAAAAACAAAAGCATTGTCTTTGGAGATGACACTGGCAACTAATAAATAGTAGCAATTATACTACTGTATTTTAGTCATTATAAATTTTATTACAATGTGAAATGGTGCATTCAGTAACCAAAGAGCGTGTGTGTGTGTGTGTGTGTGTGTGTGTGTGTGTGTGTGTGTAGACAGAGACACAGACTCTTATTCTTACAGACTACACCACAGTTTGTGTCCACACAACTTCATAAATTTGATCTTCCAACAATCCTGAAAGGTGTACAATACAGGGATTACTTAGAATTCCATTTGCTATATCAGTAAATTAAAATATAGGAAAGCTAAATGCCTCACTAGATTCCTAGAAAAAAATACCCAGACTTGTGGCTCTCACATCAGTCCTTTAGAAGGTTTGGGTGACAAAAAATACGCAAGATTGTTGGATTTCTAGAACGATTTCAACAATGGGTTTTTTCCTCTCCCAACATCATAAAGGGTCATAATCTATCTCAGTTTTTAATAAATGGGAGCAGTTACCAGGATTACAAAGAAACTGCAACAAAAGACTGTTTGGAAGCATTGAATTTGAAAATGTACATGCTTTTGAGAACCTAGGAATTAATACAATGTTATAATTCCTCAGCTTCTGGGGTAGAAAACATTGACGTTTACTAGACCACAATTAAACTCTAGACTATCTTTAAATGAGAGAGAAAAGGAAGGAGTGAAATAAGGAATGAAGGGGGGAAGGAAGGAAAGGAGGGCCAAGAAATAAACAAAAAGCATGAAAAGAAAAAGAAAAGTTATTCAGGAAAAATGTTTCAAGAAGAATATAGGAGTGAAATTTGAATTGTAGCACTGGTTATATAAATATATTCAAAATTTCACTTTCCCAGAGAATCATGCCCTTTTCTTCCTCTTCTGCTTCAACTGAAATACATGATAAGGCAGCATGAAAATACATGATAATACAATGTCTTTTTCACTTTTAAGTTATTGTGTCCAGTTTATGTCTACATCTGCTATTTTTTTTTCTGCTACTCTTTTATGACTGGCACTTGCATTCCATAAAAATAAACATGAAAGGCACCATTCTTGTTATTTTTCAAAGATTTGTCTTTTAAATTCCTCAAAGAAGCAAGTGAAGTAGCTAGCCAATGTTCCAGTTTAAATGGTTACCCATGTTTCCCTATAGTTTCTGATTATTAAGCAAGCTCCTAAAAGGCAGCAACAACTTTTTTCTCCCTCGCCCCATGGAAACTGAAGTAGAATTTAGCAGAGGCCTCCTGGTGTTCACTGACTGCGAGGAGGTCTGGAAGGAATTCTCAGATCTCTCTTCCAGGCCCAAGGGCAAAGGCATGTACCAGAGTCGGTGTGATTTTGCAGAAGGAAATGAACAGTGTAAATGGTGAGTCGTGGGGGCTAAGAGGGAGGGGACAGGTCTGCGTGAGACCTCGGGGGCCACCACCTACCTAGACGATGGAGTAGCCAGACGGGAATGCATGTATTGCTGTCTTCTGACAAGTGTATCCATATTGCACAGACAGAAAGTGATCAAGGGAAACTAATTTACCACTCAACAGTAATAGCCCCTCAGTACAACATATATTTACACTGTTAGCTAGGCATCAAAAATAGCCTAGATTAGACTGAGATCATTTACTCTGGGTAATTGGGAAGAGTATCTGTTTCTTTGAAGTCAGGGTACATTCAAGTAAGTTGGTTTGGCATTTTGGTGTGTTTTATTTTTTGTCTCTATTCTATAGAAGTACAGTTAAAATAGAAGTACCTAGGCTCTTTTATTTTACAATTTATATAAAATAGAATCACTTACAAGACCTAAATATTATTAGAGTTAGAATAATATTCTTTAAATTAAACAAACATAGACTCCAAGAAAATATGCTGAATTCACAGTGCTGAAAATATCTCATGGTGAGTAATATACCCTGGATAACCATAATGTCCATATGACAATATCTGTGAAGAATAGCAACATATGTGAATAAAGATGTATAAACAATGTATGTGTTTTTTAAAAAAAGAATATTCAACCTAACAGATTAGATCTAAATTCACAAAAGATAACTTTTAAAGGCCTCTATATTCTGATTTTTAAAAAGTCCTAAGCATTTGTAACCTATGACTTGTACTTGATATTTCAAATTAATGTGGGAAATTGTTTCAAACAAATTTTAAATGTACGTCTGTTACTGCTTATCTATGAGAGTTCAAATACAAACTGCAGATCATATTCCAGAAATAATGAGTATCTAAAACATAAGACTTCAAATGCTTTATCATAGATCTAACTATAATACTTTATTGAGAGATTAGTAAGTAATCTTCCCCTTGGCCTTGGAGTCTAGACCTCCTGAATAGGTAGACTCAGAGTTAATATGGACATAGACAGTACTCTGAAAAGGGGGTGGAATCACAGTAGAACTTTAGGGTGTGTGTTCTATACAAACCAGCAGGAACTGACAAAGACAGTCAATTGTGTCACGTACTTTGCAAAGCCAATGAAGTCTTCATGATTGGTGTTGATATAGGAGACTTGAATGTCAATCAATAGCAGTACCTGCAAAGCAAAGAAAATTGTATCAATGACACCCACTTTGAAAATTCTCAAATATTAAATTCAATAACTGCCTATAAATTCTATCTGCATTTAATATTTTTTGAGATAGGGGTTCACTGTTCAGGCTGGTCTGAAAATTACTATGTAGCCTCAGATAGCTTCAAACTTGGGGAGTCATAGACAGTAGTTGGGGAGTCATAGACAGTAGCTGGGGAGTCCTCCTGCCTCAGCCTCCTGAGTGCTGGCATTACAGGCATGTTCCACCATGCCTGGTCCATGCATTTCATTTTTAAACTGATTTTTCAATGAGAATAAAAATTATACCAATTTTTCTTTATTAGACCCACACCTTCGCACTCTAAATACGTAAGTTAAAAAGTAAATAAAGAAATAAGTCTGAGATTTAAATCATGTATTATTTGCTAACTAAAATTTTTCTGCCCCTCTAAAACATAGGATAGCATTCAAAAGATGCACAAGCAGTATTACCTCTTGTTTTCTCTCTCCCTATCTCTTGAGTTCCCTCTCGACAATCAAAAGTGTATCATTAAACAATTGAGAAAGGCAGTACCCAAATGAAAATAAAACCTCCCTCAGCTCAGTAGGCTTCATTATCAAATCAAAACATCAGCCAGTACTTTGCAAAAATGTCCTTTATCAGAGGGATAGTCCCTGATCCATCTAAATTAGCACTCTCACGATTCCAGCGTCGACCCCTGGGCGGCGCTCCTAGCTGACGGAGCACACTTTCGCAGAGTCAGTACACAGGCTGCCATGACCCCCGTGCGTCCGTCCGCGTCTGGGACGTCACGTGCATGCAAAAAAGCTTTGTAAAGGAATAGATCGAAGACATGCCGGAGCACCAGAAAATGTCCTAACCTAAGGTACTTGTAAACTCTTAATTCAGAGATTTGGAAGGCTTCTCTGCAGAAAAATATTCTTCAAAGGAGAAATGAGAAGGCTGAGAAAGAACAAGAGGGAAATGGAGTCCCCAGGGACTGTAAGAAAGCGGGTCTTATTCCAGAGACCTTCAAAAGGGGGTTCGGCTTTCTTCATTCTCTCAACGCAAAGTATCTCTTTCCAGGATGCTGAGGCTTGTTAAGAGGGAAAAATATCTGAGCCATTGCCTCAGTACCTCCAGAGCGCCGTGCTTCACCTCGTCGGATGTACTTCCGATGGCCACACTGAGTGTGTCCATGCTGCCTCCTTCACTGACAGTAGCACACGAGTGCATCAGAGTCCTCCTGGTTAACAGTTCACAGGCGAATTTTACATCACGCTCCCCAGCGGGTACTTCCTTCTGAAAATCTTCCCTGATTTCACTCCTTTTTCTTACACGAGACCAGGTTGGACCCTGCTATGATGCTCACACAGTCTGGGTCCATACTTAAATTGTATATACATGTATTACAAGGTGTGATCAAAATATACAGTGAATATTTTAAGTTTTAAGATTTGTTATAGTAAAAAAGACACATTGCCATGAATCCTCCTCAGAATACTCTCGCTAACTTTGAACACTCTTGTTCCATCATTCTTGCCACTTTCTGAAGCAGTTCTGCAAGTCCTGTTTCCTGAGTGTCTTTATGAGGTATAACCAAAAAAAAAAAAGAAAACATACTGTGAATGCTGCTGTCAAGTCCGATCCAATGGAAAGGCAGGATCTAAAAACAGTACGGTGTGTCCTCATCCACCTTATTCACTGGATGGGGGACCATGCAACTTCTGACAGACAAAACAACTACGAAAGGTTAATGTTTTGGACTGACTGGGAAATTGAGGCAGAAATGATTGCACAACTAAAATCATTCACAAAAAGTGTAAAGCACTGCTTCAGAATGTGGCAAGAATGATGAGATAAGTATGTTCAAGGTGAGGGGGTGTATTTTAAAGGTGATTAATTATAATGTGAACTTTAGTGTAATAATTTCTTAAAATGTAAACATTTACTAATGTTTTGATCATACCTTGCACACTCTGTACTTTTTAAGTTTGATTTTACTGCAAATGTCATTCATTATTTCCATATTTTTTTGTTTGATGTTTCTCTTTCCCCACAAAACTATACCCTCTACAGAAGCAAGAACTATGTCCACCTTGTTCTCCAGTTTATCTCCAGAACCTACCATGATCCAGGTAGCGGGTGCTGAATAAATATTTGTGGTTTTAATTTTGTAACTATCTACTAAGCTTGAAGAACAATTTGCTTTACAGGGAGCAATTTATTCATGTGGCCACTTACTATAGTTTCCTAGTCCGTGTCTAGTGTTATGGACTCTGAGGCTGTGCTTTCCTACCTCATCTCAGCCGGTCATCTGAACAAATGCTGCTAAGAGTCCCAAGGGCACCAGTCAAGAAACAAGATTTAAAAGTTCACTCTGAACCCGAGCCCAGTACGAAAACTACATTCAAAGCACAGGGGCTATTGAGTCAAAACTATCATATTTATATGAAAAAGCACATTGGATGCAGTTTTATCTCTGAAAGAACACTGTAGAGTTAGGAGTGACTTTTTATTAGATTAACTCTAGAATTGCTTCTATTCACCCCAAAATTAAGCCAGATTCTGTTACACATTATATTCCTAAACCCATTTGGCCAGGACTTTGTACTAATAAACCTGTAGTATTTAGGTATATAAATTGTTACCACCATGAGGAGCAAAATATCTACAAAATTCTCAATATAACCCAAGGCTGTCACATCTTGGACAGACACAAATTAAGTTGGACTGCAGCAGAGGAGGAAAAAGGTGGAAAAAAATAAAAGCTATGGCTGTGCTTATTCACGTTCTTGGAAATGAGGAGGCTGTGTTCACCCTAACTGAAGGGCCAGGTCATGTAGAGGGGATGAAAAGGAAAGCAGCACATTTTTTCTCATCTTTCTCACTGTCTCATAGTTTCACACTGGGCTTTCACACACTATTATTGAACATGTAGTTGAGGAAATGTAGCAGTAACCATCCACAGTCAGTCACTTTGGCATGCAGTTACATGTATGGAAACCCCTAGAAGAATAGCTGGCATGCGGAGATGTTCCAAAAGTCTTTGTTTAAGAAAAAGGCTCACAGACAGATTTATGGTTTCCTATATGTTTCATTTTGAGGATTTTTCCCTCACAAAGCTTTCTGAGCAGAGGTAGTTAATTATTCCTCTTATTTAAAGAAACAAAACTGTAAAAATGCCTCAAACCTGTTCAGGTGCAGAGACCTGAGGACATGGGTCACCCTGATGAGATACAAGCACCATATGGCCCAAGGCAATACATCGTTCAGAATTTAAATTGCAGATCATATTACCAAAATGCATGCTTCTACTGCAGCACACAGCTCTGTATTAGAAGTGAGTACTGCCAGCCTCAAAACGCAATCGCTGTCAGAGCAAGCTGTCTGAGATTGTCCTTTAAGAGGGAGACACCTGACAAACCCATTAGAGTGGTATATGGAGATTTAGGACTTGACCCTGGTGCAAGGAATGTGCTTGGTTGGCTCTTGAGATAAATTAGATGCATTCTGCCTTGGATGAAGTCACTTTTCGTAATCATTTTATAACCTCCCATCTTGGACTCAGATTCCAGGAATCCACCCTGTCTTGTCCCCCAGTACCACACACTCCTCCCATCGGGAAGACCCCAAGAAATTGCACTCTGCACAATCCTAGATCTGTCTGCTTCTTGCTTCAGTCTCATGACACACTGGAGCTGGTTTTCATACCCTGGACCTGGCTATTCCAGAACAAATGCTAAATCTGAATATGTCATGTTAGTAAAACAAAAGTTATGAAACATGAAACAAGTCAACAACTGACTTAGCTATAGTCACAAAGATGTTGAATAATAATACTATTTTTCTTTCAATATAATTTTGTATAGTATCCCTAATAGATAAGTAGAATATATTATAATTTGAATAATTTAATGATATTAAATTGAAACCGCTTGTTTACTTGCGACCAGGCGTACAGTTGATTTTAAGAAGTTAAGTTTTCTTGGTCCAAGACATGAGATGGGGGAGGAGAGTGCCTCTAGCTTGGAGCTACATATCGAGGCCCAGGCTTTATTTCACTGACTCATGAGTTACTGCTGACTTGTTTATCTCCACTAAGTCACAATGTCTATTATTTTTACTTCTAGCTTCATAGCTATCCAAGATTGTGAAAGCTGGAAAACAAGTGAAAACTATAAATAGTGGTTAATTAACTCTCAAAGCACAACGATAAAAAGTAGTAACAGTGAGTCCCACGGCCCAAGCAGGGAAACAGTTGTTTTTGGACTCACTCACCAAAGTCCTGGGCTGCCGGGCCTCGTCTCTCTGCCTCTCCCTCTCTCCGCCTACCCTCCCACCAGCACACACGCTGTGCTGTCTGCGCCCCTTCTCCCACCGCGGTTTCTCTCTCTAAGCCTCTTATTTTTAATTTTGCCTTTCTCTCTTTCTCCATTCTTGCCTTCCTCCCCTCCTTCTTCCAATACACGTGAGAAGCACACAGTCTTGAAATACTAACTTCTAGAGGTTTTCAGGGATTATACAGACCAACTTCCCAGTGCTGTACCTGAGAAGACCATGGTCCAAAGAAGTGATTCACACACGAATGTAGGGTTATTCAGTGGAGAGCACATGGGCTGCGCCAAGCGTTCTTCGCACCATGTCACACATCCGACTGTATTGTGAAAATTGAGTATTTGAAAACCTTTGCATTCCCTATTATAATATTTTATAAGTAACTGGAAAAATCTATTTAAATATGAGAAAATGTTACTTTCATGTATTCCTTCACCTTTTAAAATGCATTATCCTCGGGGCTGGGGATTTAGCTCAATGGCAAAAGCGCCTGCCTGGCAAGCGCAAGGTCGTGAGTTCGGTTCCTGGTACCGGAGAAAAATCAAAAAAAAAATAAAATAAAATAAAATAAAATGCATTATCCTCACTTAAAAAATAATCTCTCCAGAGAAAGAAACTCCTCAAAAGGAAAGAACAACTGGGATGAGGGAAAGGAGAAAAGAAAGATAGTAGGGAGGAAAATAAATGTATACACACAAGATAGCTAAAATAATAGTACTACTAATTTCTAGTGGCTTATTGAAAGGAACAATTAATGCTTAACTGATCAATTTTGCATGCCTATAGCTGGTAATCTGAACAACTACTTTGAAGATAACAATATGTAATATAACAACCATTGTTAACTTCCTTACATCTTGTTTTGAAATTCTGTATCATTTTTAATATATTATTTAAATTTTTTATTCTCTTTAAAATAAAAAATAATAATAATCTTTCCAAATAACAGAACTTGGTTTAAAAGACAATTTCAAGATTACTCCATGCAAAATAGTAAGAAATGTTTAGAAAAACAGTTCTTAAATTTGTTTTCACTCACAAGTTCCGTGGATAAGTTGATTAAAAGCTATGACTATTCTCCTCAGTAAAAAAGTAAACTCACTCAACGTTTTGCGTAACATTTTAGGAATTTATGAACACCCTGGAGCCCATATGTAAGTCCATTAAAACTTAAGAATCCCTGGCTTAAAGAAAAAAACTGTGGTGTGTTTCTGAATTAGTGGTTTTCAAATTGGGATGTGTATATGCTAGAGAGGTATACATGATGATCACGGGGTGTTGAGGGGAAAAAAATAATGAAACTCCTTTAACTAAGTATTAACTTCATTCTTCTAAAATCTTTATATTTCTTATGTTTCTGACATGCATAAAATAGTAGAATAGTAACGTATGTGCATAATTATACAGAAGTAGAAATGAATACAATGTGGGTATATGATCCTCTCTTTTTCCCACAGCTAGGAAGGGCTGGGCTGATTGCTGGAGAACAGCAGACAAATTCTTAGAGGACTTTAGCTTGCCCCAGGGGCCTTGCCCTTCGGGGAAGGTCCCTCCTCACCTGGTCCTTCGTCTTCCCTTCTCGCTCTCGAATGTGGTTAGCAACGATCCTTTCTGTTTCCTCACAAAGTCTGGGAAAATTCGCCAGCTGTGAAGAGAAACAGGTCTGAGTGTTTATAATGCAGTACTCAAAAGGTTGTGCTACAAAAAAAGGAGCAGAGATGGACTCTATTTTACAGAAGATATTTGTTACAATTCCTTAGAAGTGAAAGTTCAATATGGGGAACTCCTGCAGAAGAATGTCGGGGTGATAAAAACACCTCCACAAACTAGAATCAGGAGCTCATCATCCAAAAGAAGATACTTCAAAACCTGCACAACATTTCCCTAGGAAGAAAGCAGGAACCTAGGTTCTATCCAGCACTATGCTCTGAAGAGTTGGCACTTAAAATTTTAAGATGAAAAAAAAAAAAATTTAAGATGAGGAAAATGATAATTGCTAGCATTTTTGTAGTGCTGACTGTGTGCAGTCCGTGAACCATCTCACTGCATATTCATAACAATCAGAAGAAACAGACCTAATTATTAACCTCATTTTATAGAAGAAGAAGCTAAATCACAGAGAGGTTAAGTAACCTCAAGACCAAACAGCTCAGAACTGGCAGACCCAGGGTTTTGACTCAAGTTTTAAAATTCTAGCACCCAAGGTTGTCTTATTTATTCATTCCAGGAGCCATAGAGAGATTACTATGATTTTTTAAAAAAAATTCTCCCCCAATAGATGTATATATGTACACATTTTTATAAAACTGTAGAACTAATGCCTGTTGATCATTTACTCAATCATGCAGATAATTATTCCAAAGATATTCTGTAAAAATTCATCACTAATTACAGTTTTCAATACAAGGAAGAAAATAGGATGCTATGGGAATGATTAAGGAGCCCTAATCTAGAAGAAGAGCTTAATCAGACAAAGGTTTTGGGGAGCAGTTATGGGGTGTGGAGCTTGTCGGGCATAGGAACCACATAAGTACCCAATGAAGTCAAATACAGTAAGGTAGATCCACTTATAGAATAGAAAGTAATGTGGTCATTTCAACTCACATTTTAATAATATCTAATGACGTGGTGTTTGTACTATAATGTTAAGGGAAGACAATTAGGCTATTGAATAAATGATGTGATCATACAAGGGCACACACATACTCACACACATACATACATGTAAGGTTGCACATCACCATGTTCCCTTGATAATCTTCAAGGATGTAGCCCAAGAATTTTACAAATCCCAAAGTGCTTGAGTAATACTGGAGCATATAATATTGTCTAAACTCCTAAGAAGTTAGGATGAGGCATCTTTTAGCTGTGGCTGCTCTGTGGTCACCCAGGGTCACTGTGCCTGTCACATTTACAGCTTGCGTGATGCACAACGGTGTGTCCGTCAGATAACAAGCGGCTGTGCTTCACAGAACTATCACAACCACCAGCTCACCTCATCCCCTCATGCTGCAAATCTACTGGCTAGATATAGGAAGAGATCTGCACCAATACTATCAAATGTTAATACATACTGATAACTCTGAATTTTGCATAATTTTACTCCTCTGTGTTTCCAAAGTCATCTGCAGTGGATATAGAATATTTTTATAATGACATCATACAAATATAGAAACTTAGCCTCACCTTAAAAGTCACAATCTAGTGTGTGTGTCTTCATGAGACCACCAATTCTTCATTTCAAGGGTGATAAGAATTTGCTCCCATCTGAGTCCTGTGGTATAGGCTCACAGAAGCTTCTTTCATAGATCACAGTTACTGCAGGATCTAAATGGAGCTTCCACTTCCCGTTTTAGAAACATTCCCCAGGGACCTCTTTTGACATTGTAGATGATCATCCCCAGAACCCCTTTTGACACTGGAGATGATCTTTTGTGAAGTTTGTGTAAGGTTTCTGAGATAGGAGGGACAAATAATCAGGGTCCTTCTTGACTAGTACAAACCTGGGTGGGACACTTCGCACTAACCACCTACCTGCTCAGGGCCCCCAGAGCAATGGCTCCTCCCCTGCACCCAGACAGCACTCGCAGCTTTCCAGGCACCTTGCTCTTCAGTAACAGCTACACTGGCACAGAATTGCACTGCCACAGAGCACTAACTACCGGAGGAATGGTGGTCTGTACCAGCGAGGAGTGGGATGCCTTTAACAACATGAGGATTTCAGCAGAAGGTTATTTTTAAAACCACCAAATAGTAGCAATATAAATATTTATTCAGAAACTAAATATTTGACAGCTGAAAGACCCCAGGCCAGTACATGACCATCATTAAGTCAGGGAAAGGCCAAAATGACAAGAGTATCCCATGAAGCACAGTCATCTAAGAATTTCTCCAATCTACTGGCCTTGGCAGGACTGATTTATGTGTGTGCGTTTGGGGGATCTTTCCAAGTTTATGAGCCTAGGGCTCAATTTTACCAAGAAAAAACCTCGGCTGAGTCCTTGTTTTTCTACCTACAATTATAACTGAAAGTTAGTAAGCCCAAATTCTAAGCAGAGCAAAAGAAAAAAGGAATAGAGTAGAAGTATTGTGTCATAGATTATATGTAGACAGCCCCCAAACCTTCACTGGGTCACAGGGGGTTCTTTTTCAGAGGTGGCTGAATCTAGAGTGTGTGATTGATTCAGAGTGCAATGCTGGGGTTAAGGGTGGGTGATTGCTGGGTCAGTCCACTGATTGGACTGGCACCACCCTAGTCCCAGCAGACTGGATGCAATATAAGGGACAGAAAGAGGCTTGTCTTGTCTCTCTTGCTGTTTTTGCTGTCTTCCGCCACCATGAACAGATGCCCCTCTGCTATGTGCCACCTTGCCTTGGAGCTAGCCGATTACAGACTGAAAGCTCTACAAACTGTGACCTAAATAAACCTTTCCTCCTTTAATTTTGGGTGTAGGGTATTTTGTGTAGACAATGAGAGAAAAGAGACTAAGACAAGGGAAAGGAGAGAGAACACTAAGTAGCATAAAGTGTAGGCATCAGTGAACGAAAGCAGTGAGACTGGCATGGTTGCTGGCTGGATGATGGTTGCTGGAGAGATGATGAGAGAGTAGGAGTACAGAATTCAAAAACACTGGTTTTACCTGCTGGTTTTCAAAAGTAAAACTTCATTTTTTGGAAGAGGAAGAAAAAGTTCTACTGATGTCCAAAATGATTTCTTTTTTTGTTTGTTTGTTTTCTGGTACCAGGAATCGAACTCACGACCTCGCGCTTGCCAGGCAGACGCTGTGCCGCTGAGCTAAATTCCCAGCCCCAAAGAGTTGGAGATGTAGCCCACTGCAAAAGCCCTGGTTCAATCCGCAGTACAGGGCTGGCATGGCAAGGAAGGCTGGAGGGATCAACGAGGAATCTTGCTTTTTTTGTTGTTGTTGTTTGGTTTTTTTTTTTTCCCGGTATCAGGAATCAAACTCACGACCTTGCACTTGCCAGGCAGGTGCTGTCCTGCTGAGCTAAATCCCCAGCCCCCTAAAATGATTTCTGGTTAGGCTTTTCACCATTCAGTGCATTAGCTCATCCCACAGGTATCCCTGCTCACTCTGAATAGCTTTTTACCTAGCTTTAAAACACACTCAGCTCTGGTTGCTCAGGTCAACCTCCTGCCTCTCTTCTAAGGCTCCTATTTAGGGTGTATTTACAGTTTCCTCAATCATTTAAATCAGTATGACTTTCAATGCCTTTTGCTCTGGATGGTGAAACAAAAGCTTACAGTTGTAAGAGTGTAGCTTTGTGTGTTTTTGTCAAAGTCATCAAAATTCTAATTACTTATGTTTAAATAATATTGACCTAGAAGACATCCTCCTTTGGTGTTTATTCCCTGCTGATTATACAAATATTCTGTAAACTGTTTTATATATGATCAAGGAACTAAGGCTTTGCTATGGGGTAGTCTAATTTCATTATCCCAAACTTATATCACGTCAGTCATTTATTGGGCAACTGCTATTGGTTCGTTTGTGTCAGAACACCTGATATTAAAACTTTACTATCTTGAGTGGCAGGACAACTGTACAGATAAACAGTCATACAAAAGAAAATGCAGGGAAGGATAATGAATGGCTAACTCTGCCATTTACACTCACATAAAGACAGGGAAACTTCCAGTCCAAGCAGTTCACTTATTAAATGGAAAATTCTAAATAGCTTAGAATTGTTCAAATTACTTGAACATTCTTAAATAATAAGGAAGATTCAATGGAGAAACAGTATTATGGACTTTCAAAATTTACTTCAAAGAACATTTTAAGGATATATGTTTGAGGAAAAGCAGCACTGTAATTTTAAAAATACAAATACACATTTTAATTATGTCCAATATTTTCAGTGTAATGTAAGGAAGTATATAATTACTTTGGTGAAACCTCAACATAAAAATTTAACTTAAGCATAGAATACATTTTTCCCTAAATCAAAAAAAATCACTTGAAAGACATTTCCACCCAGCAAAATAAAAATTACAAACATCAAATTTATTGACCATTAATTAACTGGGTCATAAAAGCCAGGTTATTAGGCTTCTCCTGGAAGGTCTGGGCAAGACTTCTATAGCTTGAAGGGTAACTAACCCAATGCCTCAAGCAATGGCACAGATTATTAGATAATTATGTGTTCACAAATCCACAATATTACTGAAAAAAGCAAACATTTCTTGCATTTACAAGACCTGACTTGAAACAACAACAACAAAAAAGACCTGACTTGATTGTTTTGACAGACCTAAAAATATGGCCTTGTTTTATCAAAAATCTATAAACATTTTTACGTATGGACCACTTGCTATAAACTGAGTAACAGTAATGATTGTATTGCCTAAAAAGCATATAACAATTTCGTTGCATTTTCTGTTATTGAACACACACTCAAATCCCTATTTCCCCTTCGTCTATTCCGTAATGTTGGATTTACTTAGGAGACGAGAAAGTGGTCATTCGGGCATAGCCCATGTATGATGGTAAGAGGAAAACCAGAGGCAGCCACATTCACAGAGGTGACTGAAGAGCAGGAGCAATTCTAGGATGAGTCAGAAAATGGTGCTTTTCCTCTAAACCACATACCAGTGCTGTCTATTTTAGCACTGGCCGTGGGAAGTGT